GCGCGCGAGGCAGAGCCACCAGGCGTCATGAAGGCCGCAGCGCCTCCGTGCCGTACCCTTTGCCCAGAGGTCGGCGTCGATAGAGTATCCCAGGTTAGGAATAGGCTGGACCTGGTTCATACCGACGGTGCCTATGAATCTTCCAGGCCTGACGTCTCCTTCCGGGGTCTCTTCCCGCAGCGTCACGGCGAAGTAGAACGTGAATTCGCCGGATCCAGGCACCTGACACCGCTTGGAGTCCATCCATGACTGTATCGCAGCGACGTCTGGGGCGTTGTAAACCAGATATTTCAGCATGGGCTGCATTGCCGGAATGTTACTGTCTGCCACGTTAGCCGTCGTCCTACCTGTCTGGCTTAACTGGTTATGGGGATGTATCGTGTATCTCATACCGCCAGGCGTCTATCAGCTTTGCGTTCACCACAACCAACGCCGGGGCATGCTCGTATGTTATGGGGACGAGCACCATCCGCGGCGTGACTATCTCCTGCGTATGGCATGGAAGAATCACCCGGAAGGGCTGAGGTGCTGCTCCTCCAGTTGGGTATTTGACCTTCTCATCCTCCTCCGATGCTGGCGGTGGCGCTGGCTTTTCTGTGGCCATGTCTGTAGTATTTCACGAAGGATGCAGAGAGACAGCTTGACAGGAAGATAAACATTTTTCACGGTATCCATTGCTTATTTATATACGGAGGAATATAAGTGAATAGCATAGCCCCGTCTCGAGCTACGATGAACGAGGTTTAGTTAATACGACGCTGTCTGTACACTGAGCATCCAGTATCAAGTCGAATACGAGAAGGAGTCAAAAGCGACATCAAATGACTAAAATGTCCACCACCGGCCAGAAAATGTTCAAGATAACGAGACATGGGACAAGGGGCTTATGGGAAGGATGCATAGATCAAGCCGTCGGAATGAACATCGGAATAAACAACGGAATATATCGACTTGACAAGGGGCAGATATCGTGGATTATGCTGAGAGTCTAGGCCGGGGGGTGGGGGGGGGGGGAAGACAGTACAGGGTGTTTTTTGTAATGAAAAACCGGATATGAAGGGGATAAAGTACATGGAATAATGGCTTGCTTGACAAGAAGAGGATGAAAAGGGGAAAAAAAATGCTGGCTTAAGTTTCGTAGATGCTTTTTCCAGTTGTGGTGTTGTATCAAAAGAGTCCAGTCTCATTAATTGCCGACTTTTTTCGTGAAGGGAATGAATTGGCGTAGATCGAACGGTGAGTTTGGTTGCTATTTGTCCGTTTACCTTCCACGACGCTGCTGTGAAGCCAGCATGTTGGCATGGAGGAGCTTGAATCCGTTGCAGAGAGCTCTCATGTCGGGATATGGAGTACGCTGCAGTTCGTAGCCTTGTGGGATCACCTTGACAGGCCAGCTGTTCAGTGGTGCCTTCAACCCGGCCTTGAAGCAGAGATGGAAGTATCCAGGGTGCTTGGTATCGAGGCAGAAGGCATAAGCTGATCGTGTAGGATTGGCTGTAGTGTAGGTTGTTAACCAGCCCTCTGTTACAGACATAGTTAGCTCTCGATACGCTTTTTCACAACATCAACAGAATGAAAGCTTACCTGTTGCCTCTTTGGTGCCGCTCAGATACTTCTCATGCACCATCATATCATCGACCTTCCTGGCCATTGCCTTGACATGGTTGACGATCAGCTCGTCAAGATCGGAATATGAGTATTTACCGCCAATTTTCAGGATCTTGCCAACGGTGAATTCGTTCTCTTTATCCAACTCCAAAACATCAATATGCTGATATACTCCATCGGCTACCTTCCAGGTGACGGCAAGATGGTCGTGGCCCTTGGATGACGGACGGATCACTACATCACCACGACTTTGAGGAGCAAGGAACTCCTCGGCCTGTCTGCCATTAAACGGGCGGAAGAGAGGGTGTTTGATGACACGTAGCACACGCTGGTCCGTCTGGGTCTTCTCCTTCATCGCTTCCTGGTCGGCACGCTCCTGGTCTTCGTCCCATTCGCCGCGCATGTGGTCCAGCTGTCGACGGTAGGGCTTGGTTACCTGGTCTTCACGGAGAGACACATTGGCAACAAACGCCTTTCGGTTGAGGTAGAGAATCTTCGCCAAAGCCGTCTGATGGGGGGAGTATAGGCTCCGAATAGGGATATCGTATCGATCGGTCATTTCCGCCTCTGGGACGAGGGCGTCAATTCCACAGTCAAGCTTGCCGTCAATATGATCATCAGAGATACGTTTGATGGTAATAGGTACGATCATGCCCTGAGCCAAAGACTCGGCGGTTTCACCTGTAAACATCGTGAAGATGGCATCGGTGCCAAGGAAGACGAACTGCTTGCGGAGCTCCTCGTAGGGTTGCTGCAGCTCTGCACGGATGGTCTCGAGAGTGGCTCTCTTGCGCTGGTTAAGATTGTTCTCCAGTTGCTCGGCATACTCTTCTAGCAACAGGTCGTTTACTTTATCCTGTGCATCCTCCTTGATAAGCTTCCGAACAATAGCACCTTGTCCGTTCTCATCTGTCTCTGCCTTGATATCTTCCTCATCAAGTTCGAGGGCATCCGCTGCAATCTTCCTGCCGATATCGTAGTCTTCGGGGTGCACACGAGTATTATCGAGATAGTCAGTGTCAGGGTCTGCGTTATCATAGTCAATGTAGAGGAAACTGGCGCAGTTGTTCCAGACTTTGACACCCATGGCTGGGTACTGCGCATTTACTCCCAAGAGTTCCATACGGCTATTAACCACGCCGCCGTTCATGTTGATAACTTTCAGGAGTTGAGACGCCTTTCGGGGACCGAGGCCACTGATGTATGTAAGAAGGTTCGCTGACGAGACATCGCTGACAGCTTCGTTGATATCGACGCCGACCAGGTTAACCATGTCCACAAGAGCGGTTTCCAACTGCTTTAATAGCTTGTCCTGGGGAATGAGCTGCTGGCCGGGCCTGAATTGGATAGACACAACGTCCCTGCCCAGCGAGGCATACTCCTTCATTGGGTTCTGGAGATACTTTGCTAGGGCAACGCAGTATCGGCTCAGGGGGCTGAAGCCTGGGTGATCCATCTCAGCTCTGCGGCTCGTCTGGTAAAGCCTGGCAACCTCATCGTTAACGATGACAACCTCCAAGATATCGCTGACTTCCTCATCTCGGTCATCAGTGTAGAAAGCACCGCGTAGGTCCTTCGCTTGGACGAGCTCTGATAGCTGTTTATGCAGTTTTCTGGTTTCGGGAGACTGTCCCGATACACCGATGACATCAGGTTTCCGGCGCTCAACAAGTTCAACGAACGCCTCCACATCCTTGCCGTCGGCTATCATACGGTCGGAGTCACCAAGGGCGAGGTCAACGAATTTCCCGTGTTCTAATACTCGTCCGTCCTCTTCGACCCACGTCCAGTAGATAGGATCTTTCCCAACAACTCCCGATCCGTTAGTAAGAGAGAGGACTCGAGGGATGGTACCTAGGATCATTCCCTTGGGTTTGTAAGGGGCTTGATCGAGTCTCTGTGAGAAGACTTCTCGACATTCGCGCGCGACGTGGTTCTCACACTCCGTCCGCATATTCTCCTTGACTCCCTTGCTCATGATCTTCTCCAGTTTGTTGAGAGCTAGGTCCAGGACGTCCTTTCGCTCCTTGTTCCAAGCATCCGCAATCTCACTGAAGTTGTCGGACTGGATGTCGGGATATAGGCGCTCCTTGAATGACTTAAAGTTCTTAAAGTGAACTTTGATATCTACAAGACCTTCCTCCTCGGCCTTGAGCATCCGTAAGAAGAGCTCAGGGCGACGTGCAATATCTGAAAGTTGTTGATCACGGAGATATTTGAACTCATAGTACGGATGATGCTCGTCAATCTTCTTTAGGCCTTTCTCCGTTCGATAGCACTCAATTACACCACTCATGTAGAACGCCTGTCTCATGACTTTTCGGACTCTGGGGCTCACGGTAAGTTCCTCTGCAAACATGGTTCGAGCAGCTTTCATGGCGTGGCTTGCGTTGGTGAAGTTAGAGTCAAGAAGGTTATCTGCCATATCGCCAGGCTTTTCAGTTGCATCGTCTATATATTGCCGGCGGCCAGTCTTCATAGCGTTTTGTGCGAAGGCATCAGGAGTGATGCCAAAGGCGCGAACCAGTCCATATGCACGGCTATTGCGAACCCGTTCGAAAAATGATTTTGTTGAAGCCTTCCGGCGCTGGGAAGTGATGCCGTTTTCTCCTTCATTATTGCTGCTGTTGAAGAGCGCAATATCTTTGAGCTCGGTGGAGTACTGGAAGTAGAGATAGTCCTGGACGTCTTGTAATTCCTCCATGGTGACAGCTGCGGGAAGCATCTCCTCAAACATTTTGTCCTTGACGTTAGAGATCGTCTGCAGGTTATCGTATGTGGTCTGGAGGGTGTTCCGTTTATCGATGAGGGCGCGGAACTTGAGGTCGTATTCAAAGATATCCCATAAATCGATCATACTTAGAAGCTTTTCAGCCTCAACGATATATTTCCCTCCATCGGGGTTCGTTCCGCCGTCAGGAATGGGGATCTTAACGGCGTGGATGAGGTAGTCCTTCCGGTGCTGGAAGATGAAGGGCACTTCCCAGTCGTCCGTGACCATGAATTCGAGAACTTTGGCGACGGCCCGTTGGAAGGGCTCATGTAGATCTGAATTGAGCCTCTTTTTTAACAGCATCAGATTCGATATCCAGACAGCCTCTTCCCTGAACTGCTCTTCTGTCAAGATGACATGCTGGTAGGGCTTTCTGGCGATCTGATACCGCTCGGGTTCGTCGGTCGAACGTATGATGTTGTCCTCGTCCGTCATCATCTTTTCGGCGAGCTGTGAGGGCTCAAAGACGTCCTTGAGGTCCAGCTGCTTCTCCTCGTCTTCTTGCTGCTCTTCCTCCTCGTCTTCCATCTCGAGAGCAAACAAGTAGTCGTTTCCGTCGCCGAAAGCCATGCGCATATCCTCGAGAGCAGCTTCATCAAGTCCGGTCGCTTCAGTCACGGCGAAACCGGAAAGACCTTTTCTGGCTGGACGTGCGATCTCCTCGTCTTCTTGCTGCCGCTCGTCTTCGTCGGAGAAAACATCCTTCTCGATGAAGTCGTCGAGGTCATCGTGCATGTTCCTTCGGCCTCGACCGTGCCCATAAGCGTCTGCCTCTTCCTCTTCATCCGAATTGAAGATGTCGTTGATTCCTTGCGGTTGTTCCCGCCCGACTTTGTGTCCGCGCTTTAGACGCTTAAACTTGGACTATGAAGCTGTCAGCATCACCACACCCGAGTCGGAGTATAAGGGAGAGGCATACCTCATTCTGCATTGGGAGTTCAAAGTCTGGATTGTTCTCTCTGATCAAGTAGAGGTCATCCTCGTCGAGCAGCTCTTCTTCCTCGATGCGCTCCGCCCTTCGACGCTTCTTCTTATCCCGTCGTCTGGCCGTCCGCTCTTCGTCCTCTTCATCCTCATCGACGATAAACCCTTCCCGGACCTAGACATGTCTATTAGCTTTGCTGATACCCGCAAGGTAGACACAGACTCAACGCCCTTACCGCGCGAACGGCGTCCTCGTCCTCGTCATCTAGTTCCTCGTCACTAGAGTCATCGTAGTGACCGTTCTCCTCCTGCCCCTTGTCTTGTCCGCCCTCCTCGCCAAAGGACTCGTCTTCCTCATCGTCAAGGACAGCTTCCGTCTGCAGGAGGTCGTGAGTGCTCATCGTGTAAAACTTGTTATCCCGTCTTATGTGAGAGTCGCCACTGGTCGCAAAACAGGCGCTTACAGAGGACACAGAGGAGGACACCTATCAACACGATGGTGACAATGACAATCAGAGAGAGAGAGAGAAAGAAATAGACTTGATAGAGAGAGAAAGAAAACTCCCCTTTGCAAGCTTTCTTTTGGCGCAAAGGAAGACGCTAGTCCTAAAGGGGACGACCTCTCTAAGCGCCGCGTCTGGCGTCTAGACTAAGCGATAGACGAATATCACGTTACTTCTTACCTAAGCAAGACGAAACGCGCTATCAATAGGAGCAAGTCGGGGCTTTTTTTTATATAGAAGATAATAAGAAGACGACGAAGACGAAGAAGAAGAAACAAGGAGAAGAGATCTGAAACAGACGGACGGCCCCCAAGGAGAGCTCGCTAACCGCCCACAGCCACAGTCACGGCGTGAGGGACCGGCAGTGGTTGCAGGGCCTTGCTTATCCCCTTGTTCGCCGTAGTATTAGTGTTTTTTTATCTGAAGAGTTGGGATGTAACATCTTTTTGTAGAAAACATCATCATCTCTCTTTTTCCCTCCAGTAGCCCCTTTGTCTGTATTGATATAAAGGGATACAAGAGACCGTCAGGGCTTCTGTTCTTGGGTGAGAGGCTTGCGATTCGTCTCTTGTTGGCGTCGATTGGCTGTGTAGGTGGACACCTTCATCTTATCCCACCGTCCAATACAACCCAGAGAAGGCCGGCAACCAGCAGCCAGCAGCCAGCAAACGGCCAGGTAAGGAGAATAGCAAGGCGTCTCTCTCTAGTCAGGGTCTATAGGAGGGCTTCCCTTCTCTCTATCTCTCACTGGGTGCCCCTTGGTGTTTTGACTAGTTATCTCACTGCGGGAGTGGACTTGTATGGCTGATTCAACCCAGGTAAACAAAACGCATTCAGCACTCAGTCGACCTTCACTCTTCCTACGACTGCAAGACTGCTTCAGTTCTACATCAGCTTGATACCGTCGCCTCTCTCTCACTGCCGTTCGGGTTGGTGGAACCTCCCTCGCGGTGCCACCTAACACCCGGCCTGACCTTCGACCGATATCTCCACCCGATAATACATAACAAAAAGACAATAGGAATAGAGAGAAAGACAGTAACACGCTCTGAGCAGGCCTTCTGCTGCACTTCGTCTACCCTCGTCGGTTTTTTTCCCTCCCCCCTGTGTTTGGAGCAGAGTCTCCAACCTCGGCCACTATGGCGGATGCTTTCAAGGCCCGCTCGCTGAAACGAAAGAATGTCAAGGGGCTTGCTCTCAATTCGGCCGCTCCAAAGGCTGGCCTGAAGCCCTCTGACGGTGATGCTCAGATCCCAGGAGCTATCGGGAACACAGACGCCAACAGGACGGACACCCTAGAGATCGGCTTGGAGTTCAAGCTCGACCTGCGGAGCGAAGACCTGATAGTGCTCAAGGAGCTGGGTGCTGGGAATGGAGGGACCGTCAGCAAAGTCATGCACGCGTCGACGAAGGTCGTCATGGCCAGGAAGGTAGGCTTGCTTGAGTGCCTCTCTCTTTTTCTTCGGGCTTGGTTCTAATCTTGATTAAATAGATCATTAGAGTCGATGCAAAGGAGAACGTAAGAAAGCAGATCCTCAGAGAGCTCCAGGTCGGCCACGACTGCAATTCGGCCCAGATCGTCACATTCTACGGAGCCTTCCAGAACGAAGCCAGAGATATCGTACTTTGCATGGAGTACATGGACTGCGGGTAAGAACCCTCCCCCTCACCACCAGACGTATGCATACACACTACTTACACAAGCTGGACAGGTCTCTAGATCACATCTCGAAGAACTTTGGCCCCGTCAGAGTTGATGTGCTGGGCAAGATTACTGAATCCATCTTTGCTGGCCTTGTCTACCTATACGAAGCCCACCGAATCATGCACCGGGATATCAAGCCGTCAAACGTTCTAGTGAATTCAAGAGGCAGCATCAAGCTATGTGACTTTGGTGTTGCGACAGAAACAGTAAATTCGATAGCAGATACCTTTGTCGGCACGTCGACTTACATGGCACCAGAGCGTATTCAGGGCGGCGCATATTCCGTACGGTCTGACGTCTGGAGTGCCGGTTTGACGGTCATGGAACTCGCGGTTGGAAGATTCCCGTTCGACACGTCTGATACCTCCGCGGGAGACAGAGCGAGCGCGGGACCTATGGGTATTCTCGACCTACTTCAGCAGATTGTTCACGAGCCAGCCCCCAAACTTCCCAAGAGCGATGCCTTTCCCAAGATATTAGACGACTTTGTTGCAAAGTGCCTCTTGAAGAAGCCGGAAGAACGACCGACTCCACGACAGCTATACGTAAGCCACGCCTCCTCTTAGCCCCTTTAATTATATATACATAAACAAATTACCTAACCACCTACCG